AGGTGGGAGAGAGTCCTTAAACTTGGCGACTGATGCCCAAGAGTTAAAATTGTGCCTGTTCAGAATTGCCTGCTGATTGGCGATCCTCAGTTGAAGGCCCCCAGAGGAATAGACTTTCCTCCCGAACAAGTCCAGTCGCTTAGCTTCCTTGCCCTTGGGGGCCGGAGCTTGCTGGCCATTGCTCGTTGACCGCCGAGACCACCAGCGAACAAGGGGACAGGTGTAAAAAGAGGAAGTCGAACCCTCTAGATGGGGCAAAGTATTTCCTCTCCACGCCTCTTGCAGTCGGTGCACTGGAGGCCGGCATTTGCCACACCGTCTTATAGTTGGACTGTACTGTCCGTATGATCGGGAGAGCGACTCTGGAGGGGCCCTCTGGGCTCAGGATATCGACCATGGGGTCTTCCTGTTCTACGGTCTCCTCCGCCTGCAAGCCCAGATTGAGGGCTACCCTGCGAAGCAGGTCTTGGTGTGCCCGATGGTCAATCGGGGGAGGGCCGGACACCATGGTGCCCGCTACTGCCTCATCTGGCGAGGAGGAAGAGGTCGGAGCCTTCTGCCCCTCCTCAGTGTCCTGCAACCCGGCATCGACCAGTTGCTCCTCTGGGGCCTGACCCGCAGTGTGGGACTGGGACGGTACTGTACTCGGTGCCGAGTCCACTCCTTCCCGTTCCGGTGGTCTAGAGACCGTTGCCTCCTTATGTGATGGCGGACGGTGCCGCGGGGAGCGGGATCGGTACCCCGGTGGCCTGGATCTCGAGGTCCTCGATGGGGGCCCTTGCTGGTGGTAGGCCCAGGGTGTTCAGAATGGCCATTGGCTCAGCTGGCCCCATTGAGAATGGCCATAGTCCCTGCTGGCCTGCGACCTATGGCCATATCCACCGTACCGGTCCGAGTCAGTCCCCGAGACCACGGACGGTGACCTGGAAGGCCACGGCGCAGCCGTAGGATGGTGCCGGTCCGGGTTTGGGGAGTAGCGCCTCCACGACCAGGATCTGGAATAGCGTCTCGCCGACCTGGACCTGGAACGGTACCAGCGGTCGTGGGACCGGGAACGGCTACGGCTGGTCGGCCTCGGGTAACGTACCGCCGACACTTCGCGGTGCCGACTTGTGCTGGGTTGCTGAGTCGGTGCCGACCGCTTGTTGAAGCCCGACTGCTGCGGTGCTTCCTGCGCTGAGGGTAACCGGGAGTCCGCCGAGGCGAAGCTCGACCGGGACCGGTTCCCGAAACGGTGCCGAGACGGTGACCGTGATGGGCACACCATCGCCGGCTTGCCTCTGTGTGGCAGCTTTGGCGGAGCGTCCTCAGCACGTGTAGGGGCCTCGACGGACAATGCAATGAGGTCCTTAGCTGCCTCAAACGTGTCCGGAGTGGAGGGCTGTTCCAAGAGCTCCTCCAGCCCTTCATCCTCACTCGACGCGCCCATCCCGGGGCTCGACGGCCCTTTCGGCGCCGGAGCCACTACCGGGGTCTGTGCTGGGGCCGTACAGGCCTTAGGGGCACTCGAGGTTTTCGCCGGTGCTGCCCTTTTGTGCGGGGAGCGTCCTCGGGCCTTAGGTTGGCCCTTCACTTTTCCGGCGAAGACGACCGGCGTCGTACATGTCCCCGCTGGGTCGGTGCCATGGGCTTCGGTTGACCCACCGGCGCCGGTTCCCGCACCGATGCCGGCGCGCTTCGCACGGAGGCAGATGGTGCCGTCGAAGTGGAGGGCTGCAATGCCGTCTCCATGAGCAGCTGCTTAAGGCGAAAGTCTCTTTCTTTCTTAGTCCTAGGCTTGAAGGCCTTGCAGATCTTGCAGCGCTCTTTTTGGTGAGCCTCCCCCAGGCAGCGGAGACACGAGGCGTGGGGGTCGCTCAACGGCATAGGCTTGCGGCACGTGGCACAAGCCTTAAAGCCTTGGGCGTGCGGCATGCCCCGCCACCCAGGGCCGGTGCCGGAGTTGAACAAACAACCACTGCAGGAACGTTAAGTACCCTAATGAGCTGTTAACTACTGGCTCAACACTACTACAAACTAACTGATAACTGCTAATAACACTAATGACTATTGCTAAGGGACACTCTCAGACGAGAGACAGAGTTGTTCCAACGCCGCCACGGAGGGTAAGAAGGAACTGGAGGGGTCGGGTCGGCAGGGATATATATACCCTGGAGCGGGGCGCCGCTCTGGCGGGAAGGAGGGGGCCCTGCCGGCCCGACGGGAGCCGCTAAGGGAAAAAGTTTCCGACGTCCGTGCACGCGGCGCGCGTACACCTAATGAGTAATGGACGTGAACAATCACTCGAAGAAGAACAATGACTTTCAGCTGGAATACAAATCATTAATAAGATTTACATTTCCAGTATACTTTCCTTGGCATTTTGTGGTAACAGTTAAAAGGCAACCTTAAATCAAATCTCTTGGATACTTTTTGGTACCCAGGTTTTGTTTTGAAGACATGATTTTTCAGAGAGGTTTAAATCCTTAATGTATGGCAAATGCATGATTTTGCAGGGGATGAGCAGAACCCTTGTGTTGTCTAGTTTGAAGAACAAGATACTGAAGTCCTGCAGCAGACTGTGCTCTGACATTATTGTTTTCAAGCACCTCAAGAACATAGGTTGAGAATGATCCATCAAGCTATGACAAGCAAGTTTCCAGCTGGGAGCAAAGAGAAGATGACAGCTGAAAAAAGAATTCAAGTAGTTTGCTGAAATAAAAAAACTGCAGGAGAACTAGAAATTAGCCTCTGAGATTCTAAAATATTTACAGATATTCCTACATACCAGGCAGCACCTGCTGAAGCCAGTAGATATTAGCAAGACCAAATGATCAATGAAGTTACATTGTTTCATTCAGCTTTAGTGATTCTCTTGAGATATTATGCAGGAAATGAAAGTTACAGACTTCCGTAACCATGCCGCTCAAATTTTAAACATTCAAAAGTCAAAGTAAATATAATTCTGCCTCAATTTCTGAAACAGGAAAATCTATTTAGCAAATACAATTCACTTTTAAACACAGATGTCTTAAACACAGAGTACAGCATATCAAACTGCACACAATATGTAACAGAGGTTGTAATGTAATTGTACCGTAACACAGGGTTAAACGCTACTGTACAGTGTTCTCAAAATATAGCTAATACAGGTGTACAGATCAATTGGTGATTTTAAATAGAAAGCCCAGCTAGTAGGTGAGGTAAATGTTATTGGTAAAGGGACTTCTCCGTGCTATATTCTCTCTTACAGGGGTCTATATGGATAACCACTAAGGCTTATATTGACAGAGTGAACACAATGGCTAAATATCACTGATACAACATTCTGTGTTCTCGCTTTTAACTTGATTTTGTTACACTTTTTAAAAATGAGAAATGCCATTTTAAAAAGAACTCTTCCCCTGCATTGTTTCATTGCTACATTTTCAGTAAATCCCCATTGCCACAGATGCCAGGGAAAGACATTATTTTAGCCTTATTACTTCTGCTAGCAGAATATTATGCCCTGCAGAAATACAGTGGAAACTATGTCTGTCATTAAGAAGTTTATATATAAAGTTTTTATCATTAATAATTTGAACATTCCCTAAAGGGCTTGGGTATTAAAAAAGAGAAGGGTTATTTTTATTTTCTCTATACCATGTAAAATGGCTATAAACTTCAGTACAAATATTAGGCTGTCCCTCAGTTTACATAACCCTGGATTAGGCCATCGGTCACTTGACTCATACACAGTAGCTCAATGTGATGCAAGGTGACGGAGGTCTTTGAGCTTTCATCTTCCCTTCTATCATCTGTGTAAAACTGGGATAATACTGGCCTCCTTTGAAAAGTGGTTTGAGATCAACTGATGAAAAGCACTATAGAAGAGCTACGTATTATTATTATTATTATATTTGATATGTCCTCCATTTCCATACATAACATTCCCCTTTTCCACAATCTAAAAGTTACACCAGGGGTAAAACAACTTGCATTTTACACCAAGTGTAAAAAAGAGGTTAGGACGTTTAATAAACAGGGATAAATATCCACTTGGGTTGCACGGAAATCTATTTTGCCCAGTAAATAAATTCAGATTTGAATCCAGGCCTACAAAGATGAAATGTTTGAACATTCATGTGCTATTCTATCTACATTTTTCAAAAGGAAAGGAGTAACTCAGATTTAAGCCAGAGTCATGAATAAATATTAGATGGGCTAGCAGCCCGGTCACCAATAAGCTGAAGAAAAAGTCTGAGATTCTTCTCACCATTATATTCCAGCATTTTGAAGTTCTGGTCAGAGGTATGTTGTGATGTTATTGACATAAACTGTGGCCGTATAGATGTTTGTTGCAACCAGCATCCTATGGCTGCACCAGGTCTTGTACAGAGGAGGCCAAGTGAGGTGTCTATGGAAAGGTTGTAGTTTACTGGTTATGATTATGCTGTCTGTATGTTTGTATCATATTTGTATTTGAAGTTATGAATATTGGCTATGTACTTGTTTGATTCTAAGTAGCCTCAGTGAAGCATTTGGTCAGCTTCTTGAGAAAGAACTATTCTCAGTAAGTGCCCAATCAAGAAACACTTAACTGACAATGAACTTTGGGAGACGCCAATCCACATCTGAGCTTTCCTGAGAACGTTCAAACTAACATGTAAACAATGGTATTGGCCTGCAAAAAGCGGAATCATCCATAGATATGTGACTTGCCCAGGTGGCTACAGACTCCATCTTGTTGCTGTGATCATGAACAGGAGAACAAAGGGGTTTCTGCCCACAAGAGAGAGAATATAAAAGGCCCTGGAAACCCCTCCATTTTGTCTTCAGCTGGCTCAAAAGATAGCCTTTCCACCCCAAAGAGATGCCTGAAAGAAACTGGAACAAAGGACAGTAACTATGGGGGGTGGGGTGTGAGTGATTGCTGGACCCAGAGTAGGAAGGAGTCTAGTCTATGAAAGAAGCTTATTGGAACATCTCTGAGGGTGAGATTTACCTGCATTTAGTTTCCTACTGTATTAGGCTTAGACTTGCATGTTTTTGTTTTATTTTGCTTGGTAATTTACTTTGTTCTGTCTGTGATTACTTGGAACCACTTAAATCCTACTTTTTATACTTAATAAAATCACTTTTTGCTTATTAAATTGACCCAGAGTAAGTAATTAATTCCTGGGGGAGCAAACAACTGTGCATATTTCTCTATCAGTGTTATAAAGGGCGAACAATTATGAATTTACCCTGTATAATATGTATAATCAGAGTAAAATGGATTTATTTGGCATTTGGATCCCATTGGGAACTGGGTGTCTGGGTGCTAGAGACAGGAGCACTTCTTAAGCTGATTTCAGTTAAGCCTGCAGCTTTTGGGGGACATGGTTCAGACCTGGGTCTGTGTTTGTAGCAGGCTAGCGTGTCTGGCTCAACAAGACAGGGTACTGAAGTCCCAAGCTGCCAGGGAAAACAGGCTCAGACGTAGTCTCAGTACATCAGGTGGCAATTCCAAGAGGGTCTCTGTGACTCAACCCGTCACATACGTGAAAGCTGATGTTTAAGGGAAAGGGGCCCATAATAAGGAATAATCTTATTTTGTAGGGGGAAATCTGTTCAGGGCCCCAGTGGATTTCCTGGACACTTTGGTGGTTGGCGACAGGGACAGAGGATGTGAAGTGTAAGTAGGCACCAGCACTTCAAATGATTAAATAAAAGGGGAGAGAAGGAGCAACAAAGATACAAAGGGAAGAAGTTGTTTCATGCAGAACTAAATTACAAATCTAAGTGTGGTAATGGGGTAGGGAGCTGAAATGTTTAGACACATTTTAAAGGTGAATCAAAATATTCCACTCTTCAGTTTAACTCCTATCCTGCTGCACTTGAAGTCAAGTGGAGTTTACCTACTCACTTCCATGGATTCAGGGCTTCCTTTTCTACATTAGAAATAACACTTCCCTCCTGCTGGAAGACTGTCTGGGGACTGGAGAACTATGGGATAATGAAATCCCAATAGGTAGGGGTTGCAGCGGCAGTTTTGCTAGACCTCACTTAAGACAGGAAGGGATGTTCACACAGACAGTTTAAAATTCTTTGGGCTTAAATTTTTTTGCTAAAATTGGATAGTTTTAGGAGAAAGCTCTGCATGAGAGAGTCAAACCCACCCACCTCTACAATGAAAAGTGGAAAAGTTGCAGTTGGCCTTTCTACCTATTATGATGTCACTATATTCACTTCCGTTCTTCCAGTCCCTGAGAGAGTGCCATCCAAAAGAAATATAGAAATCAAAACTTGATATTCCTAATATTTCTAAGTAAAACATGAAAAAAGAAAACTCATCTTGGGAAAAAATGGTTGTCTTTAAACATCACAATGGACATAAGCAAGAATATTTTTTCTTTAAAAACAAGACAAACTAAAGGCAACATCAATCAACATTCTGACAATATTTATTACAAACCTCTCACTTCCCGCTGATGATATTCTTTGTTTTTAAGTATGGGGTGTGAAATCCACAGCCAAGGATGATGCTTGCGGAGCTGAGGAAGTATGTAATGTGTTACGAATCCCACAGTCCATGCTAAAGCAAACAGCACAATGCTGAGAAATGGCTGAGCCAAAGGAGGAAAATAATGGAATCACATTTACAAATAATATTTTATAGACACACAATATTTTTAATGTACAACAATTTAATCTTCCTTATACATTTGCAAGAAATATTGATTCTTATATAAAAAGCATCAAAGACTACAGGTGGGAAGCAGATGTGGGGCTCAGGAAATGAATGCAACAACCTTTGTTCTTTTTCAAAATGTACTTTACACACACATTTAACTAGTATTGTAACTGAAAATAAAAAAGCTAAATTGGTCGGGTTTATGTAAGAATCCCTCTTCCAACAGCTACTATGTCATAAAAAAAGACTAGTATAAAGCAAAGGTTTAGGGAAAACAATTACTAAATACATTAAATTGTGCCTCATATAAATATCTATAACTGATTTGCAGTGTATATCAAAAGCCTTGAAATTATCTTTGCCATTAAATAATTTTTCCTTAACTCTTCTCTTCACAGCTCCTTTCTATTCTTAGCCGTGTAATTTTGCATAATAGAGATGATATCTTAGGGGGAAAATATTTAAAAGGAGGGGATTATAATACATACCCTTAATGACAGAAACACAGTGCTGGCGCTGACTGCAAATGATAGAACAGCAGCCACTGTGCAGACAATGAGATCCGATTTCAAGATTTCCTTCTGTGAATATAATTTTTTTAAAATACAAAATTATCAAGTGAATACTATTTTAACTGGATAAATTACATTACTCCATTATGAATTACTAATAGTTTGCATTGTGATGACATTAGTCATTGTTTTACAATATATAAATATATTTTAATGTAAAGGTATTTTCTGCAATATGCTTTGCAAAATTATTTCCCCGCATGCTACATTTGTTAAAAAGACCCTGTCAATCATATTAAAATTTTATCAAAATTCATTTAAAAACATATTTTGTAAACATTGTTTAAGTATCCCATGTTACAATTAAAACTAACCTAAAACTAAAATGGTTTTACATTAAATTTGTGTCTCCGTTTATGCAATGGTATTTGTGGGGTTTTCTGTATTTCTGTTTTCAGAAGTGGGCCTATCTCTAGTATTATGTAATGATAATGAAAGATAAGAATCTACCTTCAAGTAAAGAACTATAACTGGGCTGGAGTAATTGTGTTTTGGAGATATAGGAAAATATGTTCTTCCTAACCCATTTTTCTTGTGATTAAAATATCATCATGAATAAACAAATTAACAAGGTAGTTTTTGAGCTATGTGAATTTTTGAACCATTGTATTTTAGAGCTTACAGAAATGTCTTTGATTAGCAAATCAATAACTTGGCTTAGACTTATGACTAGACATATTACAGAGGGTTAGCAGTACTTAACACTGGAAGCAAATGCAGGTGCTGACTGGCATAAACTGAATGCCTACTACTAGATATTTATCTAAATACTGACTTGTAGTGCTTTAATTTAAAGACTCCTAGAAACCTGGGATACAACAAAATTTCACTTAAAAGAAAACTTCATCTGATTCAAGATGTTTCTGACTGTGTACCCAGCCCCAATAGCCAACCTAGCCAACAAGTGTTTCTGTGGGGAGGAGGAAGAAAACATAAAATAATGATAGGATAACAGACCCAACAACAGGAAGATAAAAATGAAACAGAGATGTAGGAGACAACACTTGACCAACAAATTTTAAAGTATAGGGGGAGCTATCAGTGACCACTATATTTCGGATGCTTAACAATTTCGGTTATCAAAAGATGATTGCGACCTGTTTCTAAGAACACGAACACTTACACTGTTTATAGCAGGCCTTTGAAATTCAGCTGGACTAAAGCCCTTAGGCTTGAGGAGTGCCTTTTCTTATCCCATAAAACTCCACTCAGGTTTAGCTGAAATATAAAGTGTTAATTGTCCTTTTCCTGGCTTGTGTTCCTCAGGAAAATTTTGGCAGACTGCCAAAGTATTAATGGACCGTGAACATTCTAAAGAACTAGATCCAAACCACTGCCAAAGCAGCAGCACCAAAACCACCATATACATGTTCTGGCAATGTAAGGAAGCCAGGAGGAGTGCGAGCAGAGCTGGTGCAGCCTTCCAACAAACACCCTGCCTGCCTGGACTCAGCACATGGCTCCAGTGGCCATACCCACCTCTGAAGACACCACATCAGACAGAAGCATCCCAACGCAAGGGGATAGAGTGAAAGAGAGAACCAGGCCAGGCCAGCCCCTCACCATCAACTAACTCCTGATCTCCCACCTGGGCCTGCCCCAGTGGCCCATTCCCACCCACAGGATAACAGCCTTCTCCTGCCACCAGCTAATGTAGTTAGCCCTGTGGCTCAAGTGGTAGCAGCTGTGCATCAGTACTGAAAGTTCAGGGTTGAAACCCTAATGATGATGCACATAATGGAATTTATTTTTACCTTTTTTTCCTTATTAAAAATCCTAGGAAATTACATACTAAAAACGACATTAAAATAATGTTATTTAGGTTGCAAAGTTAAGCACTTGAAAGCTAGGAAATGCTAGATTTATGGTTGCCTGTACAACCTTAATTTAGCCCTGCTGGGTATAGTATAGTATAGTATAGTATAGTATAGTATAGTATAGTATAGTATAGTATAGTATAATATAATATAATATAATATAATATAATATAATATAATATAATATAATATAATATAATATAATATAATATATAATTACATGATCACATACTATTCTCAGTAATGACAACTCCAAGCATTCAAAAATTGCGAGTCAGGCCCCAAAGAAATCATGAGGTTGGCTAAACGTTAATAAATGTACTCGGGTCACGTTTTCAAAGCTAGACTGAAGGATAGAAACTTACTATTTTTAAAATGAAAGCTGATATTCTCATGTAATCATATGCCTCCCAGAGCTGGGGTTTTAAGAAAAACATCACATATCATGATATTTGCAGTAAGATGATGAGAGTTGGTGAGAGTAAATAAAACACTGCACATTTTCCACAAGACCCCATGCACAGGGGGGTGTACAGAATGGATGCCAAAGCAGGCTGAATTAAGGTTGGACGGGCCATGATTTCCTAACTTTCTAGTCCTTGACTTTGCAACCTAACTGACATGTTTTTAATGTAATGTTTGATACACCTTATGTGTGAAAGGCTTGACCTCTGACCCTAGTAAAAATTCAATAGTGAAATAATCACTACCATTGGGATTGTTTTGAAGTTTTGGGTAAAAACAGATCATGCAGACAAAGACTGAACATCACCCATCCACCAATCTATCAAAGAATGATTTCTTTATTTTTTAAAAGGCTATTCTGGATACCTCCTGCTTGTGAGAATAAACAGGAAAACATGCTGTAATTTTTTCTTCTTGTTTTAAATTATACATTGGGAGCTTTGTATAAATCCTTTTACTAGCTATCTGACTGTTTGTACTAAAGGCCAGGAAGGAAGTTGAGTTTGAATGTAACACATTAACACCCTCAGGCTACTGGTTAATGTAGTAATCAACTGTGGGGATGCCTATAGAAATTAATTATAATGCTAGGAAGCTCCATTCTCAAAGTTGAATGGTCAATTATCCATGACAGCTGCTTTGTAATTCCAGTTTCCAAAGCTGACAATTCTTACATAGCCATTCGAGCAGAGAAAAAATAGTAAAGGTCATATAGCTAAACATTACAAATGCTATATTGATTACTACTAACATGAATATGAAGTCATTATACAACACAACAGATTTATTTTAGTATTTAAACCTATTTGCTTTCATCTTGGGAGGTGAACCGGTTATTTATATCTTAAATTTATTGATTAAAAAGGTGCTAATTTAGCCTGAATATTATGCATGCTTTATACATAGGCGAATAGCCCAGTGGACACTGGACATTTTGTTGCACGTTGCCATCTTATGCAGTTGACAATGGAGGAAAAAGCTTGTTTGGGCCATTACACAGGGGCATGCTGAGGGAAACAAAAGGGGGAAGGATATGCTATTTAAATTTCTCCTTCTGGTCCTCATGTAACAGTGTACCCAATTCCCAGATTGATCAAAGTTCTTCTTACAGAGGATCTGAAAGCTATTTTTAGTTTGCTTTTGAAAATTAATCAAAACCAGAGCTGGTTACGATAGCACACTCCCTTAACTATAATAGAATAAGATCAGAATGGATTGTTGTTTGAATGTTTCCCTCAAATTTGATGCACATATCTTTTTAGCTGTCTACACACACCAATACTGGCATTGCACTGTGAGAAAAATTGTGGCGAACTTACTTAACTTGGCTCAACTATTTATTAAGACATAGGTGCCAGCCACTAAAGGGTTTAGACAGAGCATGTATTAAACTACAATCGCAGTCTCCTCTTCAGGGAGTACTATCTGTGTCCCAGCATGGAAGAGTTAGCACTACATAAACCAATTTAGACTTGTGCACATCTGCTTACATTAATATATAAACTGGAGGAAACCCAAACACAGGAAGAAAGGAAGGTACAGCATTAGGAGGCCCTTGTAGCAGCCAGTAAAAACAGCCTGTGTTTCTGGAAAACTACGTGAGATGTCAAACGTGTGTAGCAGAAATGTGCAGCTGACAAGCACCATGTGAAACCAATTCCCTGGCAGAAAAGAGCACCAAGAAACAAATTCAACCACAAAAAAGGGACCAAGACACAAAGGCCCTGTCTATATTACCAGTATAGCCATGCCAGAGCACTACAATGGAACACAGTTATCCACTTTTCCTATGGTTCCAGTCTGCAATATAGTCAGGACCTTAACTGTGTTTTTAACCAGATCCTCATCTGCACTCTGAAATGAAATTATTGTAACCAGTTCAAGGGACGGCCATATTGTTAACTGGGTCAGTCTCCTGACATGGTTCAACTTGTAGAATAGATGAGGTCAGACTGTACACTTGCCTCAGGCAATGAGCAATAAGTGGAAGGGATGTGTGGGTTATAAAATCAGAAGAAAATTATGCCTCCCACTATATCTACAATACAGTCAACCAGTTCATAGAAATCAATTGACAGTGGATTGTGCCCATAAGCTACATACCAAAAACGCCAGAGTATGTAGCCAAGCTTTATAATAAATACTTTATATCTTTGCTTAGAAGCCTCCCTCCATTAATAGCCAGACCTCTACTATGCACTTTAACCAAGTAAAATAATTAAGTTTAACAGAAGTTGTGACTTCTACACCAAGCAATAAAGTAGCGTATTTTCCATGCACTCCTTAAACACTACTTACTCCCACAGATACTTACACTTTAGGGATTATCTAGCTCCCCAGTGCTTTGAGGTGCCATTATGGATGCTGTGCTGAGGAGAAGGAAAGGTTTCTAGAAGCAGGGCAATTCAGAACTTTTGGAAGGAATTAGCCACACCTTAACCCTTCTGGGAACCCCATCTTTGACCAGTCTGAACTCCTGAGGTATCCACCTTCCCCTGGGGACCAGTCACCAATACTTTCCTAAAGCCATGTCTACAGTGGCAGAGTTTTTTCGCCAAAAGTTTTGTCAACGGTCAAAAAGCGCTAAAAGAAAATGGTTGCTGCATGTTCACACTGTCTTCCTCTGTCAGCAGAGTGCATCCACACTTGAGGCAGTAGCGTCGACAATTGAGCATGGTTAAGGGATTCCACATGGGTGGATTGCAGGTTTCCAGTACATAAAATAAATAATTTTAAAAAGCCTTACCACTGACTCTCTCATCTTCTCTGGGAATGCATCTGTTGATGAATCTCTCAAATTTTGACGTAGAAAGTGAGGAAAAAATTTACATTGAATAAGGGACCTATTATAAAAAACATTTGTTAGAATACCTCGGAATAACCGCTTTTCAGCTAATGGGGTTATATGCCCTTACACATTTTAGAGCCCAACTTTACCCTTACATACACAGTAACTATTCTACTGCTGCATAGCAGGGGATTGCTATAGAAAAGCTGAAAATCTGGCCAGGGCAGTGTCAGCTTCCTCACTGATAAGGAAGTCTAGTCTAGAATCAGCACAGTAGCATTAATTGGAAAGGGACCATGGGAGAGGGTAGTTCAGTTCCATGCCCTTTCTAATCTTTGACCACTACTGAGAATGCTGGCAAGGGGGTTCTTTTGTGCCACTTCTGATGTCAAACACTGATATTACAAATAGGGTGACCAGATGACCCGATTTTATAGGGACGGTCCCGATACTTGGGGCTTTTTCTTATACAGGTTCCAATTACTCCCCACCCTGTCCCAATTTTTCACACTTGCTATCTGGTCATCCTAATTACAAAGGGAAAAATGCTCACCTCAATATAAATTACATGTTCATTCTCATTTTAGTTTTACACAACACCTTCTCCTTCATCTTAAAATTTATGCTGTAGGCCATTCCTTAAATACTGTTTCCAATCCCCTAAACTCCATTTAGTTAAATTCAGAGTCATTAAAAAATATCTTAAACCTCTTTTTGGGGATTATACATTTTAATCATGATTATTCAATGAATACTTGATGTTGTTGTAGAATCAGAAACTCATATTTTAATCTCAAACAAGACATTTAACAACCATTTGAACTGCTGAGAATTTGATTAAGGTCGTTAGGGGATTAGAAACTAGATTTAAAAGGTGGCCAAGCAATGAATTCAAGGATTCAAAATACCTTATTTAAAACAAAAGATACGAGTTTTTGTTTAATTAAAGACATTAATAGACTGGGAATTATATCCTGAAGAAAATACACATTTAAAATCTAAAGAACTTATTCTTGAGTGCTTATTTGGTATTTTTCTGTTTGTATTTTACACAAGAACTGATAGTACTTCACCCCACAACCATTTCTGTATTCTATAGCATCCTGTAGAATGAGTTATATGTCACTCGTAGTGGACCTGATCCAGAGCCCATTGAAATAAATTGAAAGATTCAATGGGTTTTGGATTAGGCTCCAGGAGAGTAAGTGGAAGCACTTCTTACTACACTTCCACCTCAGACAGAATACAGCAGGGATCATGAGGATGACAGGATTTACATAAACCACACTGAAGAATTTAAGAATTTCAGTTAATGCCACAGCTCCTTTTCACCTTCCTTCCCATTCCTGTTTCCTCCCCTGCATATAACAACTCCCCATTGTCTCCCTCAGAATTACCTGGCTCTCTCTGTGAATGCCCGAAAAAGGCCCACACCAAGATGGCATGGGGTCCCATGTTTCTAGTTGCATCTCTGCTTCTGTCAGCCCAACCTTCAGATCACCATGTTGCTTGTTCTACACTGGTTCTTCACTGTCCCTGGACTCAGCTTTAAATGCTTACTACCTTGAAGAGCAGTTAACATCAGTGGAGAGGCAAAGGTGATGGAACTGACACTAGAAAAGAGTTGTGATCGGGTTGTGCTCCCCAAGAGTCAGAAACTCTTCCTCTTGCTTCTTAAGTGCTTCCTAATGCATCTCCCCAAACCCTGATAATTAGCTTGTCCCCAGGTGGCATTCATTGGGGATTAACTAGTTCCATAAGGGTTAATCATATAATTCCCAGACAGCAAAATCTGACCCAAAGAACTTAGTACTGATGAAAGGTACTAGATTTATTGCCCAGGTGGTTGAAGCCCTTTATTCATTTACCGAACTGGTACACCATGGGCAGCAGGTGTGAACACTTCCCATTTCATCAAAGTACTTTGGGTACCTAGTGATGAGAAATTGAATCATTTGGTTTCTGTTTATTCATTCATTGTTCTTTCTGCTGAGACAACTGACAGTGGCACCATTTAGTGACAAATCTGATGGTAGTTTTGCAATGGAGACAGCTGGCTACTGGAATGGACCAAGACCAAAATATATTTCATACAAGCTACCAAACTAATGACACTATCTTTCAGCCACTGACAGCAGTCTTTGGCCCTGATCCAGCAAATGTTTCACTTTACTATTATACATCATCTCATTGATTTCAATGGGACTACTCATGGTAGTACACTTAAGCACATACATAAACGTTTTCAGGATCAGTACCTTATTTTGTACCATTTATCTAGAGGTAAATGTGTATCTTATTGCTAGTCCTTGAGATATCCAGTCCCGCTCAAAAAAGAGTGTTTTCTAAAACACTGGTATAATAACCATAAAAGCCCTCCTTTATCATACTTTTTCAGTATGTTTCTTTCCAGTGAGACCCAAGTTTACACAACCAACTTTGTTAGAAGATGCCTTAAGTCACCGAATTCAGAAATCACCATCTCCAGACTTAAATATCACCCTGTGCAAGTTATAGTTTACATGCCATACAATAAAAAAAAGTTTACTGACAACTTACATAAGTACAGATGGATCACTGCTTTGCCTGCTAAGATGATAAGAAAGTGCAACTAAAAGGCCACAGAAAGCAGAGAACAGTGCTGGAATGTGTTGAGCATCCCATGGTTCCTAATGGGAAGGACAAAAAGCAGAATACTTTTATGTTAGGAATGCAAAACTTACTTTTTAAAGGAAGCTAAATCCTACATACAGTGCTAGATCTACAGTACTCAATACATCATATATCAAGGAGTTATAGTTCTATCATATCACAATCTATTATTGTGAGAATGGCTGAGATGTTACAGACATACTTTAGAATTACACAAACTATATACAAAAATATCTCCATAATCAGCAATTAGAAAAGAAACTAGAGAACACATGAAAAGCAGATTTCCCCCCTCTAAATAAACACCAGAGGCAAAATTTATAATCTTCATTAAAAGAACAAATTAGAGATGTGAGTAAAATAAATTGCATTTTATTTGCTAAGCCTTAAAATCAAAGGTAGTTTACTCGACCTTTGGCAAGCTCTCTCAATAGCCTGCATAAAATCATAGAAAATTAGGGTTGGAAGAGACCTCAGGAGATAATCTAGTCCAACCCCCTGCTCAGAGCAGGACCAACCCCAACTAAATCATCCCAGCCAGGGCTTTGTCAAGCTGGGCCTTAAAAACCTCTAAGGATGGAGATTCCACCATCTCCCTAGGTAACCCATTCCAGTGCTTCATCACCCTCCTAGTGAAATAGTTTTTCCTACTATCCAACCTAGACCTCCCCCACTACAACTTGAGACCATTACTCCTTGTTCTGTCCTTTGCCATCACTGAGAACAGCCTAGCCCCATCCTCTTAGGAACCCCCTTCAGGTAGCTGAAGGCTGCTATCAAATCCCCCCTCACTCTTCTCTTCTGCAGACTTCTCGTAAGTCATGTGCCCCAGCACCCTAATCATTTTCATTGCCCTCCGTTGGTCTCTCTCCAATTTGTCCACATCCTTTCGGGGGGGGGAGGAGGGGGCGGAGCAAAACTGGACGCAATACTCCAGATGTGGCCTCACCAGTGCCAAATAGAGGGGAATAATCACTTCCTTCAATCTGCTGGCAATGCTCCTACTAATGCAGCCCAATATGCTGTTAGCTTTCTTGGCAACAAGGCTCACTATTGACTAATATCTAGCTTCTTGTCCACTGTAATCCCCAGGTTCTTTTCTCTATGACTGCCGCTTAGCCAGTCAATCCCCAGCCTGTAGCAGTGCATGGGATTCTTCCTTCCTAAGTTCAGGACTCTGCACTTATCCTTGTTGAACCTCATCAGATTTCTTTTAGCCCAATCCTCCAATTTGTCTAGGTCACTCTGGACCCTATCCCTACCCTCCAGCGTATCTGCCACTCCCCACAGCTTAGTGTTATTAATGAAGATGTTGAACAAAACCGGCCGCAGGACCAACCCCCTGGGGCACTCCGCTTGATACCGGCTGCCAACTAGACATCGAGGCATTGATCACTACTCATTGAGCCTGACGATCTAGCCAGCTTTCTATCCACCTTATAGTCCATTCATCCAATCCATACTCCTTTAACTTGCTGGCAAGAATATTATGGGAGACCATATCAAAAGCTTTCTTAAAGTCAAGATATATCACATCCACTGCTTTCCCCATATCCAGAGAGCCAGTTATCTCATCATAGAAGGCAATCAGGTTGGTCAGGCATGACTTGTCCTTGGAGAATCCATGTTGACTGTTCCTGATTACCTTCCTCTCCTTCAAGTGCTTCAAAATGGATTCCTTGAGGACCCACTCCATGATTTTTCCAGGAACTGAGGTGAGGCTGTAATTCCCCGGATTCTCCTTGTTCCCTTTTTTAAAGAGAGGCACTATACTTGCATTTTTCCAATCATCTGGGACTTCCCCCGATTGCCACGAGTTTTCAAAGATAACAGCCAACGGCTCTGCAATCACATCAGCCAACTCCCTCAGCACCCTCGGATGCATTAGATCCAGACCCATTGACTTGTGCATGTCCAGCTTTTCTAAATAGTCCTTAACCTGTTCTTTCACCACTGAGGGCTGCTCACCTCCTCCCAATACTGTGCTGCCCAATGCAGCAGTCTGGGAGCTGACCTTATCTCTGAAGACCAAGGCAAATAGCATTGA